CTATTAGCACCTCTGCAGAACTCTCAGACTTTGCTCTGCTCCCATGCAGATCATTTGGCTGCTAATTACCCACAGCATAACACCATCGCCTGGCTTCCCCCACCTCACCAGACACCCTGGTGCTGGAAGCAGACTGCCTCCATCTTGGACCACCTTTCTCACCATATTTGGTGGGGGGCAGCTCCCAGATCGGATCTCCATCTGGCCAGGTACCACTTTTCCAACTCCCCCTCTCCCCAGAGGTGATAACTCAACACAGTAACTACTCAACACAAAACAGCTCTCAGTTGAACAGGTGTGTAGTGCTACCAGGGCGCTGCCCACATGGTGTGAGCCTTGGTGTGAGGGGTCTCTCAATTGGGAACTGCTAGGGAGAGGGAGATGGGTCTAAAGTTTTGAGCCTAACAAAGAGACTAGGAACTGGGAAATCTCCAGGCAAGATAGGGAGATAATACCAGGTGCTCAAGCCTTAGGAACAGTCCCCAAAAGAGACCCATGAAGTGCAGTCTCCCTGCAGGGACTGGCAGGTGCTACTCCCTGCTTCCAGGCACCCTACACCAGGACCAGTCTTCCCACCCTGGATACCTCAAACATCCTGAGGGCAGAGACACCAGCTTACAACAAACAACCCCACCTACTGGATGAAAAGAAAATCAGGAAAGATGGATCTCTAAAAATAGCAACAACTCTGGTTTCTTCCTTTGAGGATTTTTTTTTCTCTTTCTCATCTACTCCTCTATCCTCCAGCCCTCACACCCCCAACATATGTGAAACCAAGAACTTTGAATGAATTAGCATTTTGAGAACTGAGTCATCTGAATAATATAATATAGAGGTGTTGTCTATGCCCTTTTTTTCTTTTTTTCATTTTTCTTTCCCCATCCAAATTTTACTATTTTAATATCTGTATTTTTCTAAATATATCTGTGTATTTGTTTATCTACTCTACTGTATTCCCACATACTTGTGTACCCTAAAATACTTCCTGTCTATTCTCTTGCTACTAACCTCTTCATTAGATTTCTCTTTCACACTTTCTAAGATATATTAACTCTATATCCTCACATTCTACCTCCTCAGCATATCATCCTCTGCTCCACCCCCAGTTCATTATTCATGGTCAGAAACTGTAAACCTTTTTACAAAACTACTGATTATATTTTAGATAATAATTGAATCCAACATTTCTGTACAACGAGACTAAACTGTAAACGTCTTAATTACAACAAATCGTTCATAGGTGGTATGTTGTTGATATTGGGATCTGTTAACATTGTCCTTCCCCACAAAGGAGAGGTATTGGAGCCCCACAAGAGCACTAAAACTTATAGTGTAAAAACAACAACACCCCAGACCCACAGAGCTGGAAAGGAAGACACACAAGCAACATGAAATGAGAAGAAAAGAAAGTGCCCCAAACAAATCAAGACACCACATCATTAGAATCATTGGCAGCCACAGCAGAAGAAATTACAGAGAAGGAGTTCAGGATGTACATGGCTAAAATGTTCTGTGAATTCAAGGAAGATATAAGAGAGCAAATACAAGCAGTGAAAGATTACTTCAACAAGGAGCTACATAAACAAATACAGGAAGCAAAAGATCACCTCAACTGGGAGATAGAGGTTCTTTAAAAAAATAGAAATACTTGAAATGAAAGAAACAACAAAACAAATTAAAAGCTCAAATGAAAGTAACAGAGTAGACCACTTGAAAAATAGGACATCAGACAATGAAGACAAAATATATAGTCTTGAAAAGAAAATAGACCACACAGTGATAATGGTAAAAAAAACATGAGCAGAATATTTATGATATATGGGATAGCATAAAAAGACCAAATTTAAGAGTTATTGGAAAAGGGGAAGGCATAGAAGTTCAAACAAAAGGAATGAACAATCTAGTCAATGAAATAATATCAGAAAACTTTCCAAACATAAAAAATTAATTGGAAATCCAAATTCAAGAAGCCTATGGGATGCTGAATGTACAAAATCACAACAGATCCACACCGAGGCACATTATAATAAAAATGCCCAACATAAAGAATAAGGAGAGAATTTTAAAAGCCATGAGAGAAAGGAATCAGATTACATATAGGGGAAAACCAATTAGGATAATGGCAGATTTTTCAACACAGACCCTAAAAGCCAGAAGATCTTGGAACAACATGTATTAACCTCTGAAAGAAAATGGGTGCCAACCAAGAATCTTGTATCCAGAAAAATTAAGCTTTAGATTTGAAGATGAAATAAAAACCTTCCATGAAAAAAAAAGTTAAAAGAATTTATAGCTAGAAAAAAATGGCACTACAAAACATCCTTAGAAAAATATTCCATGAAGAGAAAATGAAAAATAACAGTGAAAATCAGCAGAGGGAGGTAGTAGCCTAAAGGAAAAACTAATCAAATAATAAAATCGAGTCAAGTTAAATAACAAAAATAATCAAATGTGGCTGGGAATATAAACCATGTCTCAATAAAAACCCTGAATATTAATGGTTTAAACTCATCAATCAAAAAACATGGACTAAAAGATTGAATTAAAAAAATTAGACACCCAACAATATGCTGCCTCCAGGAGACTCATCTGATAGGAAAAGACATCCACAGACTGAAGGTGAAAGGTTGGGAAAAATCATACCACTCACATGGACTTCAAGCCAAAGTTAATCCAAAGAGATAAAGATGGACATTACATACTCCTCAAGGGAACCATACACCAACAAGACATAACAATCATAAATATATATGCCCCAAACAATGGTGCAGCTATGTTCAAATTCTTCTCAAGAGTCAAATTGACCACAACACAATGATCTTGGGTGACTTTAACACACCTCTCTTACCACTGGATAGATCTTCCAAACAAAAGTTGAATAAAGAAACTATAGAACTCAATAATACAATCAATAACTTAGACTTATCTGACATATAATATTTCAACCTGCATCAAGCAGATACACTTTCTTCCCAGCCTAGCAATCTGGATCCCAGGGACTGTTCCTAGTCTTCCTGTGATGCACCCCCCACCCCAGTGTCAGTGGTCAGGGGTATGGTGAATCTGCCTTGCTTTGTTCAGGGCAAGAGCTGGTTCTTTGTTGCCTCTGTCTGAGTGAAGTGAGCTAGCAAACACTGTACAGAGCTTTGCACCCTTGCCTGTGTCACAGAGGATGGATGAGCAGAGGTTGCTGCACTTCCCAGGAACAGGTCCCCTTGAGTCAGTTGGGTTCCCCTTGTTTGCGGTAAGTGGGGAGAGGGAGGACAGTTTCGGCAATTTAGGGTTAGTAAGTAGTCCTTCTAGAAGTTCTTTCTGGCCCTGCTTTTAAGGGGTCCCACTGTAGAGGGCTTCCCTCTGGTTAATTTGCAGCTGTATGGGTGTGGGAAGACATCATGGTAATTTAAGAGGGTGACTGATCAGCTCAAGGCTCTGAGATAGGGATTTAGTATTAGGAGAGAGAAATACAAAATCTTAAAGGAAACACCTCAAGTAATTGAAATGTAGAATTAAGCCATTGAGATGCATAAAACATAGTTGCAAACCTGAGCCCATGAACTTGTAAAATGTGGGAAAAACACATGGCAGGAAAACTGGCCTGAAATTCTGCATCTCCACCCTGAATCCACCTCCAGTCCAGCACCTGATACAGCCCTTCTGTAAATATTGGGCCCCCTAGCCTACATTTGATCTGCTTCTCACTCTCAAGACAGCTCTCATTTCCCTTGAATATGCATCTATCTTCCTAAATAAACCTCTGTCTATGCCTTTGTCTGGCTAGTGCTGAAATTATTTTCCATCACATATGCCAACCCCTGGTCCTGAATGGAGTTCCCCTCTCCTCCTGGAACTCCTTGGACCCTTCTCCAGAGATAACTCTTCTCCCATGACAGCTCCACATGGTGGCCGTGGACCCCAGCTCAGCTTTCTGCTCAAAATTTGGTTTTAAGTTCTTTAATGCTATTTTAAGGAGCTTTCTGATACTGTTGTGCTTTAAGTTTTGTCTGTCTTTCCAACCATTCCTAAGTGGGAGAACTTCAGAGAATGTCTGCTAGCCCCTGTCAATGCCCCTCCCTTCTCATCTATGGTTCAAGTCAATGGTGCTCAGGGAACTCTGACTTTGGTACCCTGTCTTCCAGTCCCTCCAGATCTAAGACTATTCAATATCAAATCTTAGAGCATTTATTTCATCACCCAACTCTCAATTCTGCGTCTCCTTCCCTGCCTCCTCTTGTGTGAAGAGATCGGATTGCTGCCCTGCTCACTTCTGCCATCTTCCTAAACCCGAAAATACCCTCACTTCTTGTTAGAATCTGTAAACAAGTCAGGATGGCGCCTGATATTTTGCCAGGGGGAGTGGTTTGTGAGGTGGCACCAGCGAGCCATTAAGTGTGGAGATTTCTTATTGGTTGACTGTTGTATCTAGTTTATGTTAATTAAGATAAGCTGTGTGGAATGTATAAATACCTCTGTTGTCCTACAATAAACGGTCCCCACTCCTGATGTATCAGTCTACACAAGTTCCTTGTCACTCCCCGGTTATTTTGCTGCAGCCGGACTGCGGCAACTTCTCACAATGCACACTTGGCTGTAAGTTTTGAGAATTAAGTTTTCTTCCTTCCTAATGTAAGTCCTCAGTGCTATAAATTTTCCTTGGCTTTTGCTGTATTATGTACCTTTGATGTGTAATGCTTTTATCAATCTAATTTTTTTTATTTCTTTAATTCATGAATATTCAGAATATTTAATGGAATAATAATACATGAATTTACCTTATGATTTTAAATTTCTAAGATTTAAAAAAAAAACTTTTTATGTTAACTCTTAATTTATGAATAGTCCCAGTGCCAGGCCTCAGGGGGTTTGGGAGCCCATGCAGGAACACTGAGGAGGCTTTCCTCAGGGGTATGTGGAAGCAGGGCAGAGAAAGCACCTGGTGGAAGTGGAGCAGCACCTTCCTTGGGCAAGTCTTTCATTAGTAAGCAATTTCATATTGCCCTTAGAACAGGATGGGTTACACTGATGGATTCTGGTTGGCTTACACAGGACTCAGAGTGCTGCAGCGCCTTACCTTAATGTCCCCCATCACCACCACCACCACCACCACCATCATCATCATCATTGCCATCAGCAGAAGCATCATAGCACTCTGATATTTTACTTTGTTGCTTATTTGTATCTTGTCTTTTAACCAATGTGTGTATTGAAATGTTGAAATTTTATGCTTTATTCTTATCTAGTTTTATTTCATATACTTAAAGAACAGGTTATTGGGAGCATTTGTGTTTTAAATTCATGGTGAATTTGATCTTTCACTTTTTATCATTAGTTGTTAGATCTCTTCATCTCCAGTAGTGCTTTATGCTTTAAAATCTCCTTTATTAAATACTCCTATATCCCATCTGGAATCTTTTCCCATTTTTTTCCTTTCTTACCTTTGTCATCTCCAACCACCTGAGCTCTCCCCTGCCTCTTCCCTGTGCACACACCCCACTGTGCCTAGTATATGTATTCCCCATTTTTTCTGTTCAGTCTTTGTTTTTAAGTATGGGGCTGTGAGAGGAACTATCTAGCTCAAACAGAGATATTTTAACTGTTGAGACATCCAAGTCAGTCAACTTTTTATTTATTTGTTCCAATTTTTATTCGTTTATGTTTAATACTAAGTTGATCCTTACTTTTGGTATGGATGTGAGGACTCATGGAAGGAGTGTGGGTTCACATGCACGTAGTACCATGACTAAATCAAAGAGAGACACTATTAAAAGAATTGTAGGTATATCCTATGGGATTTGCCATTGACTAGATTTATATAATAAATACTCCCACAAAGTTCATGAGAAGTTCCCTTTGCAAACTCTCTACCAACTTGGAGTAAAAGTAACTAGATTATTGGGTACAAAAATACTGCTGTGCACCCAACTTTCAGCAATCAGGAAGCAAGTTTAGAAAGTCATACAGCCAAAGCAGGACATAGTCCCCATGCCAACTGCAGATGTAACTAGGTAGGATAACAAAAGGAAATCTTACAAAGAGTATTATAAGAACTGAGGAGAAAAATGAGCCAGACTGATACACACAGAGCACAGAACAAAGATGGCGATCAGGGCCAGTCCCTATCCAAGGCGGGAAACCAGGATCCCTAAAGACATGTTCTTTTTCCAAGCATGGAGTAAATTATCTACAACAGGTTCCCCCAATTCCTTCCCTCTCTGCATATATATTGCTATTCCACCATAACAGAAAGACTATATTCTTTCTTTCCTCCTGAATTTGGGCTGACTGGCTTTGGTAACTAGATCAGCAGAAGGTGATGCTGTGACACTCTGGAACATTGGTGGCTTGGGGGAACTTACACAGTGCAATTGTGTTTTATTAGTGCCAAAGATTGCCACGTGATAGAGAAGACACCCTGAGATGAGGCGGTGAAGCACAGACTTCCTGAAAAATGCTTGAGGGCGTCCGTCTATGACAGGCTGGATGTGTGCTTTGCCAGAGAGCCTCGCAACAACCAGTTGAACAGTTGCCTTCCTGCTGCTCACAGCACCAGTGTGTGCGGCCACAGACAGCATCTCCTGCTTTGTCTAGGGACTACTGCCTAGATGAGCACATCCTCTGATCTACCCCCATTGTTGCAAGGAGAAGGGTTTGTCAGATGGGCTTCAGAAGCAGACACCATTAATTTGCTTTGTTCCTTTCATGACCAGCAGCATCCTATGGAATAGTTGTCCTGGCATGCTCACAAGAAAGCAACTGTCTACAGAAAGCACTAACTTTCCCTAGCTCCCAACATGCATGAGAGAAAGTCAGTGTCCTGGATAATACTTACCTGTGTGTTCCATCCTGGGCTGCTGTCAGTTCCCTGGGCTGGTCTAAGTCCTTGTGTGCTAAAGGGGACATTCCAGGGGCACAGTATCACTGTGTTCCTTCTCTTTAAGGGTGATGCACTCATGGGTAGGAAGCTCTAAGTCTCCATCAGTTTCTTGAAACACTCCAGCTGCAGGAAGCCAGGCACCACATGAAACCTACACCCAGACTACTGTGACCGAGAAAGAGCAGTCCCACAAGCACCTTGCTCTTTCAATCATCTCACACCAAGCTTCAGCCATGAGTGAAAGGTCATCCAGGAGATTTTATTCTCTAAAATGCTATGTGGTGAAGAAATGAAGCCCTGACACGTGGCCTTCATGAGCTGCAGCAGCCTCTCAGGCCCTCCTCACAGATGTCAGGAAGCAGAAAAAACACACCACTGTACCGTGTCCAGATTCCTAATCCACACCATCACCATGGTGCTTTTATCCCTCCGGCGTGATAGACAGCAAGGGCAAAACTCATAGGTTTAGTTTCACATTTAATTTTATGAGTCATCTCATGATTTTTTGCCTGTCCAAGGTGGGATCAAGTATCTGTTTTTTCCACTACATGGATATTCTATCACCAGCTCTTTCTTTATTCAAAAGAATTTTCTTTTTCCATTGTATTGCTTTAGTGATAAAATTTTTAAAAAGCAGTGAATATTAATATGTGGATCGATTCCTGGATTCTCTACTCTGTTCATTAACTTACTCGTCTTTCTTCTTCAAGATGACACTGGTGCTTCTTTCTAGTTGCCTCATTTTCACGTTAAGTGTGAGGATCATCTAGTTGATATCTTAAGAAAAATCCTGCTTGGATTGATTCAGAGAGAATCGATGGATTGTTCTGAAAAGAATGCACATCTTAAAATATTAAGCCTTCCAAGTAAATCTCTCTCTACATTTATTTATATTATCCTTGATTTTTCTCATCCATGTATTTGAGTCTACAGTGCAGATGTTTTCCATTCCTCTAATTGGATGTTAAACTAACATTGTGTCGCTAAGGAAAGACCACTGCATGGAAGGAGAAGAGCTGATCTGCTGTGTTAGATGGTCGGGGATCATGGCCATCAGACGCTGAAATCCAGTGTAGAGTAGGCAGTGCCCGGACTGATAAGCCGCAGAGCTCTGGAAGTCAGTCTTGGCTCAGGGTAGATCACTCTGCTGAGTCCAAAAACATGTTCAGAACATCTGCTCAACCCTTGCCCAGATGTAGCCACAGTGTCTGGGGCTCTAGAACAAGGCTGTCACTCCCTCAGTGGATGAATCTGGTCACCCTGAAGAGAATTACATGGAGGGTCACTTTTTACAAGAGACTTGGGATCCCACCAGTCATCATCAGCATTTACTGGCAAATAAATGTGATAAATTCACATCATTTTGCCAAAATGGATCAAGGGACACTTCTACTCATCCTAGAACAAACACACCATCTGTGTGATAGAAATTATCTAAGAATTTTTAAAAAGAATTTAATGCTTTTGTTTCTTAGGTGAGCAGGTGTTAGGTGCCAGGGGGCAATTTGACTCTTCTTTTTGCTCTTCTATAATCATCTTTACAGGGTACTGTGGATAATGATTTGAAGAAGGCCTCTGCTCCCATAGCAATAGGGGTGTGTGGCAGTAACACCCCTCAACAGCATTAAAAATCATGGTAGAGGGCTGTGCCATCCCTGACGCTGGGTCATAGCAACCTCTACCAGCTGGCTGGAGGCCACTAAGAAGCAGCTGAGTGGCTCTGGGGGGACAACGTTCAGCAGAACTAGGGTAACTTAAAGTTGTGGGCCAAGCAGAAGATCAGCAAGGAAGAATGTGACTGTGAAGTGCATCAACTTTCTGCATAGGATAATGTCCATCCTGGCCACGAGTTTCTCCTGCCATTCTCACTAGCCATCATACCTGGGTTTCCATGCCAGAGGGTGCTGGATCTTTGCACTGGACAGGTGGCTCTGCAGCCAAACCTGGGAAACCAAGGGCAGTTTAAAGCTTTCTTCTGTTCGTCAGCAGTTCATGGTGGATTACAGCCCCAGAATCCCCTCTCTGGAGCACAGCAGTTTGTGGCAAAGGATCCTCAAGATGCCAACAACTTGAAACTTTGTTCCCACCCATAGTCAGCTCCAAGGAGGATGGCAGAGACCATCTATCGGCATGGGCTGGAGCACACGGCACAGGACACCATTTCAGCTGTGGTCTACGTAGTGGAGAGCCAACTTGAAGACTGTCATCAGTGGTATCCTCAAGAAAAGGCCTTTGGTGGCAAGATGACCATTTTAAATAGGCCTTCAGCAGTAGTGACCCCACAGCCTTGTCTGAAGAACAATGTGGTGGCTTGTCTAATACTTTAATCCAAAAGTCCTCCAGCTGCATCTGCCCCCTGTAGGGGTCAGAACCTGGCTGTGCACCTCCTCGGTGCTGTGGGAACGGCAAGCCTAGCCCCTGGTGGCCTGCTTCAGGGATGCTCTGCATGCACCTTACCTCCAGTGAACATGTATGACCTCCTTAAGACCTTGTAGGCACACGGGGAAGTCATGCCCACACATGCTGTGCATGCCCTCAACATTGAAAGAATCGTCATGAACAAGCATAAGTTGCTGCAGCAAGAAGAATCCCATGACCAGCTCTTGGAAGCCAAAGAGGAGGTTTTTCTCTGATAAATTAGGATTTGAGGGTGTGGGACCCTCACAAAATTCATTGCTTACTGAAAATGGAATGTTTTGGGGTTCACAGTTAGAGGCTGAAGTGCAGAGTGTATATATGACCTTTCCTATAGAAATATGACTTGCTTTGAGTTGCTACTGAGAAGCCATTCATGTAAATATGATGCCACCCCATGTCTGCATGTACCTTGTTCCCAGTTACCAGAGCAGGTGTTGAAGTCCTGTGCCCAGTCTGAGGCAGTGTGTAAGATGGACCATCCTACAGTGAAGACACTATTGCATCATGACCCCACAATTGACAGGGCATTCTTGTGTTCAGTGACAGCACAGATATTTCATATCTGGCAAAACAAAACTTCTGCCTATCCCGAAGACCTGCACTCTTTTTGTTGTTATTATTGGAATAACCTATACAGTGTTGAAAATCAGATATCTCCTTTTGTTAATAGTTATAGGTAGCCCCCAAACAATTCCTCATTTTAACTATACAGAAAATAAGACTTGCAAATGCTGTGATGTTGGACAAAATAAAGTCCTTTCTTTGCATTTAAAACCAAAAAACCAAACAAATAACCCTCATGGAATGAAGTTTACCTTATAAAATGTCTTCCTGAAGCTTCAGTTTGTTTCCTGTTGATAT